TGCCTTGTTCGTATATGTGGGATTGTCATGCAGGGGCATCTTTCTAAAGCTGTTCATAACCAACTATATAAACGACTAAAGGTGAAGACACAACCTTACAACTCATTTCGCCCTACGAAATTATCATTCATTTGTTTTAAAAAATTAGCATGGCTACATGGTTCATGGGAGGGAGTGAGAGTCGCAGAGGTGGTAGGAACTTGCAAAGGGGTGACAGCTCATGACGAAGAGGGGGAAGGGGGCATGGCGATGCTGAAGACGATTCATGGAAGGGAGTGGGAATACCTGTTTTAGATTATGCTTGTGGTTATCGTGATAGGTTTGGGAAGCGACATTTTTTGATGCCCAAGTATTATCCAGTTCAAGGAGGTTCATGTATGGATCCATCAGATAATCAAACAGGATATGGTTTAGCAGACGCTAGACTTCTGAAGTGGCCTGCACTATTTATAGAGCGAGTGCAAATGGAAAGATTATGTCGGGAAAATCGACTGAGGGTGCCAAAAGCACGTTCTGTTGATATCCAAAAGAAAGATCCTGATAATGTTGATCAACTATGTGAAAGACTACAACGTGAGATTTCTCAAATGCGCCGTAGGTTAGCCCGCGATATGCAGCTATACATAGTTAAGAAGGATGCCCAGAAGAACAAAACAGAACCAAATGTTACGGCTATCAAGGGTATCATGGAGGATCCTGCACTTGTCTCTGACGCTGAGCTTTCGGATTATTCAGACTCTGAGCCACCTGCCGATTTAAGCGCGAATTAGGTGTTAATGTCTATACTTCAGCAATATTAGGTCATGCATTAATATGTAATGTTTGTGTTAGACTAAGTATAACTGTTATGTTATGTTATGTTTATGTTTATGTTTATGTATTGTGTCTGTCAAATGTTGCAGCTATTAATATGCAATATTAGGTCATGAATTAGGTGTTTGTCTGTCTAACTATTATGTTTATGTATTGTGCGTTCAGTTCAGGGTGTCCAAGATGTATGTAATGTGTGTTCAGTTCATGGTGTCCACAATGTATTTTTGTGGGAGACTTATGTCTGTACTACCTATATAACCGAAAACTATTACATTTGCAACTTCAATTATGTTGTTTTCATGCCTGTATGAGTATTTAGTAAATTAGTGACTTCGTATATTATGTATTAAGTTTTATTACAAAAATGTTGACAAAATTTATTTTAGAAGCTCTCGCGGTGGCCTTCGTCTTCTTGGCCTACTCCGCGGTGCTCTTCGCGTCTCACCCTTCGTCGTTGCTCGTCGAACTGCACAGTGTGTGGGTGTGCTTCGGACTATAGAGCATGCATGTCACCTTATAACCCAAAACAAAGGCGAAAGAAAAATTTTTATTTTTTTTAATGAAAACGGGTACAAAACGGTTTTACTAAACTGGTTTTCTGAATTACATTCTCACATTGTAACCCAAAACAAAGACAAAAGAATATATATATATATATATATTTAAATGAAAACGGCTTTATTAAAGCCCAAGCAAATTACTGAATAACCCCTTCTAACCCAAAACAAAGAGAAAATAAAAAAAAAAAAAATTACATCAAAATGGCTTCACTAAAGCTCATAAAATTTATGAATTACATTATCACCTTCTAACCCAAAACAAAGACAAGAAAAAAAATAATAAATTTACTTTAGTAAAGTCAAAAAAAAATTATGAATTACACCTTCTAACCCAAAATAAAGACAAAAGAAAAGAAAAAAAAAATTAACATGAGAACGGTTTTAGTAAAACAATTTTAACCCAAAAAATTATTCTGAAATACATTATCACCAAAACAATGACAACAGAAAAAAAAAATAT